TTGTTGATATGATTACTGGTCTAAAACAGATTGTGATTCTGTTGTTTGTGGATTTTGAGCGTGGTTGGACTCTTGTTTGGATAGTTAGCTTAAGAGGTAAGCTTTTTGTCCTCGGTTTAGCCATTGTTGGTTCCACCATACCCCATGGGGGAATGGTTTATATGCATGATGTGTTTTCATTTATTGATTTATTGAAATGCTTTTGAGCTGTTAAGTGCAAATGCCTATGATATGTATGTGATGTTCGCCTAGACGGGATTATGATCCTGTGGGCAAGTGTGACATTGGCGTGTACTATTGTGGGTTGTAGACGTACGTACATCCTACACTTTTCTGATCAGTAGAATAGTTAACACACATGACATGATGATATACTGCATTGCACTGATTTTGGAACTTATATGATATTACTACTTTTGAACTTATATTGCACATGTAAGTGAGCTTGGGGTGGAGAAATCCTTGAGGACCCCTTGCCTTACTGAGATTTCTGTTTAGAGATCTCGCCCCACGTTTGGGCACATATTTCAGGTTCAGGTAACTCGGGGGTTGAGACCTCGGGCGGTAGGGACCGGAGCTGAGTTAGATATTCCTGATTATACTGTGATGCTTGGATGTTGTTATGTTCTATCTTTATGATTATGTTGTTATTGTTGAGACTCTGTTGGGCCTTGTTGCCTTATTTGGTGAGCATGGGGGTTGTCCATGCCACATTGATTGACTATGTTTTATTTAGATTCGAATTGTAGTATTGTATCAGGATATCGTCCAGACTACATGTTGTAGATCCGTGACTTAGATACTCACATTTATTTATATATTGAGGTTATTCAGTGTAGCTAGTTGTCTATTTGCAATTACATACATGCAATATTTTGAAAGTGATTTAAGTAATCAACTTGGTAATTGATAATGACGTTATAATTGAAAAGAAAAAGATATTTCGCATTTTAATTAAGCGTGGCTTAATACGATGACATGATAACAAACCGGGTATACACGGGGTGTTACAACAATATTCAAATATGGGAATGTTTGATAAACCCTTGGTTTACCATATTTTTATGCTGAATTTTACAAGAATTATATGGTAGATTGCATGGAATCAAGGTGTTATATGAAAAATCATAAAGATTTGAAAATTCAGCTAATGTTTTGATATCTTGCTTATTTTGAAGGTAAATCCACAAGATTTGGTGCTAAAAAGTGATAAAGGAATCATAACAAAGATTTGAAGCTCAATCTGGCAGCCCAATCTGTAGGATCTTAAATAAAGACATAAACAAATCAAGGTTTGATTGGGAATCGATAGAGATTCATGGGGAGATTTGATGAAGAATTAAAAAGATATGGCTTCAAAGGTTATAAATAGGGAGCTTGGGGTCAATGGAATGAACTCATTCACAGCAAAATTAGAGAATTACACAGAGACCTGAAGGAGGAATCCTGTTGCGCAGCATTGAAGCACTGAGGAACCAAGTCAACATCACAACAATGGAGACTTGGGTTCTCTTTTCTTTCTTATTGCTTTTGAATTCGGTATGCTAGGCTAGATTTTTATGTAGTTAGGGGTAGATGGAACCCAAATGAATCGTATGTTTTGAATTAAATTGTCTCTGAACTCTTTTCTTTTTATATTTGAATAAATTTATCTGTGTTTAATGCTTTCTATGAATTTGCTTCTTATAGATTGATTTTGGGGAATTGTATGACAATAGGGATGTTGGTGCATGAACCCTGAATTGGTAAATTTATCATATTCCTTGTGATCTAGGGATAGACATAGGGCAATTGTGCAATCTTTAAATTCTTCATCTTAATGCATGTTTTCTTGGGGAATAATCGGGGAACTAGAGTTTTTTAGGATCACATAGATTTAGAGTAACAAGGAATTGAGCCCTAATTAACTTAGAAAGAATTGATTGACATTATATTAAGAAAGGATTCTTGACAGTTTAATTCATTGCATATAGAGGAGATTGGGGGAAGTCGAAACCTTAACTACGCTTGTTTTAAATTCTTAATCAATCATCTTTTCAATTGCTTTCTAATTTTGAATTTTAATTTGCATGTTATTAATTGTTTTTAATTTCACTTCTCTTCATCTCATTCTTTGTTGTCCAACTAAATCGTTGTTAGCGAACTAGTTCTTGAAAACCAATCCTCGTGGGAACGATCTCGTACTCAGTACACTTTTATTACTTTTACAACCGGTGCACTTGCCAAAGTCGCAACAACAAGCCAGTCGTCAATGGCATAGTAAGCTATCAAAAGCTCTCATTTCGCTGGGATACATTCAAAGAGAGGCTGACAACTCCATGTTCACTCGTCAGACATCCACTTCATTCACAATTTTATTGTTTTATGTGGATGATGTTATACTCTCTGGCAATTCTCCTTCAGAAATCACTTGTGTGAAAACATTTCTTCATGACAAGTTTCGAATAAAAAGATCTCGGTCCTCTCCGTTATTTCTTAGGACTCGAAGTTTCTCGTAGCTCTCGTAGGATACATCTAAATCAACACAAATATGTGTTGGAGATACTTTCTGATATGGGCATGCTTGCTGCCAAGCCATGCAGTACTCCCATGGTGCACTCATCTCGTCTCAGATGCCTCAACTTATAGACGTTTTATTGGTAGATTGCTTTATTTAACAACAACACTGTTTTGTTGTTCAACAATTAAGCCAGTTCGTGTCATGCCCCCATGATATTCATCAACATGCAGCAGTTAGTGTTTTACGATTCTTAAAAGGTGCTCCAGCTTCTGGTCTCTTCTTATCTGCAAAGTCTGATCTCAGTGTTCGAGCGTTCCCAGATTCTGACTGGGCTTGTTGCCCAGATACACGAAGGTCTATAACCGGTTATTGCATCTTCATAGGATCATCATTGATTGCTTGGAGATCCAAGAAACAATCCACAGTGTCTCGTTCGTCATCTGAAGCAGAATACAGGGCCCTTGCAACATTAACTTGTGAGCTTCAATGGCTCTGGTATCTATTCAAGGATCTTCTTCTTCCTTGGTCGAAACCTGCTTCTGTTTTCTGAGACAACAACTTTGCCATTTATCTAGCCCATAATCCTATGTTCATGAGCAATCCAAGCATATAGAGATCGACTCTCATGTCACGCGTGAAAAACTTCAATCTGGGCTCATTCGTATGCTACATGTTACCTTTAACTCAATCAGTTGGCTGACTTTTTCACCAAGGCATTGCCTCCATCAGCTTTCACCTTAGCTCTCTCCAAGTTGGACTTTGTTAATTATCATGGTCCATCTTGTTGGGGGGGGGGGGGGGGGGGGGGTGTAATACAAACCAGCAGTTCAAACACTACAAGCCCATTAACTTCAAAGCCTACTTCCATCTCAGCAAACAATGTATGTGCACCAAGTTCACTGATTGATTTCAGAATACAGAAGTCAACGTCAGATGCGTCACATGCATGGCCAACTAATCGCAACAGATTACCAGAAGTCTGTTAGATGCATTAGTCTGTTACCTAAGTAGTTAGATAATATGTTATCCTTTTTCTTGCTGAGGCTATTATATATATATATATGATCTTTCTGAGTATTGTAAAGTATCTTATCAATCTAATCTGAGGAAATTCATTTTTCGCTTCCAATGGCTTCTCTGATTTCTGTTACAAGTTATTGTTTTAGTTTCTCTATTGATCATCACAACTCTTCGTGTACAACCGTGATCCTACCATCCACGACCATCACAAATTTGTTTAACCATTGCCAATCGGGCTCTGATACCAACTTATGTGAAAAAAACATAGACGATAGTCTAAACACATGAATTGAAATTGATAAAGAGAACCCTTCTCTAAAAAAGTCATAACAATATGCTGATATCAATAACCAAAAAGATACAGTCTAAAACACCCTTTTACACGGTGCCAAATAATCATAAAATACAAAATTATTCTATTACCACTAGAAATAAAAATATGCCTAAACATTTTAAAACAAGGCACACACGAGCATGGCACACACATTCACGATTCTAAGCCAATTCTTGATATATCAAGCTACCAAAAAGATTTTCGTTATTGAGTTCCAAAGAGACAGGCCTCATGAATGAGAATTTTTTCTTTTCTCAAAAGGCTTTTTAGCGAAAAGTTATTGAGTCAATTTTCCTCAAACCAATGTCTACTCTTGCTTCTAATTTTAGACTTTCAACAAATGTATTTATACTACAGATAAAGGAGATGGGTTAAATGATGCACCCCTTATTTTAATGCAGTTTGGTGCATTATGTATTTCGTGATATATGCTAGACTAGTTATAGTATAGGCTATCAGTTTTGTGAGTAGGTATCTAACTAATCCTGACAAGAAGCATAGGAAGCAGTTAAGTGCATACTTAGATACTGGGTTGGTACTACAAATGCTTGTTTGGAATATGGAAAAACTAAAAATAGTTTCACATGATTTGTAGACTCAGTTCATGCTAGAGATCTTTGATAAAATGAGATCTTTAACGTGATACGTTTTTACTAAGAGAGATTGTAAAATTAGTTGGAAAGCTAGACATCAATCCACTATTTCTCTATCAACTATGTAGAGGCAAAGCACGTGGCAATTACAAAGGAGAAGCTGTTAAGGAACCAATTAAACTTAAAGGTTTGGTTTGTGAAATCACACTTTTGAATGTGTACATATTATTGTTCATTGTGACAGTGAGAGTACGAAGGGATGTCTAGTCAAAATGCAATTCAACTTAACTAAAGATTGGATGTATTATGAAAGAACCAAACATATTGATATCAAGTAATGGTGCATGTTGCTCAAGCAAAGGTAGGAGTTCAAAATTGTAACACACTCCCATAAATTTATTTGTGGAAGAGACCAATGGGGTTTAGAAATTGATGCTGATATGGTCTTATCTAACTCGAATCAGAATAATTAAGTAATCAATGAATGGAAGAATAATATTCCAAAACAAAATTCATGCCATTAAGCAAAAGATTACTAAAAGTACAACACTACCTTAGCTTGTCCATCAGGCACTGTACAAGCAATTTCAAATTGTTTCACATGATCTTTAGTCTGTGATCTATTATCCACAATAACCAATTCTCCTGTGGAACATGTTGAAACATTTTCTGGATCAGTTTCTGTTGTACTTGCAGACACTGGATTCATAGCAGAATCGTCAACTTTGACTTCATTGGTAATTTTGTGTGAGTATATGCGGACAATGTTGTACACATAAGTCCAAATGCAAAAGGATCCTAACTGAAAAACCATAAACGCAATGAAAATGTTCAAAAATAAAAATAAAAAATAGAAGTGTAAAAATCACTCTGTGATACATATATTTAAATTCCAAATGTTTTTAAGTTAGTGTCTTACTGCCATTGATAGAGAAGCATATGCTACTCCATTTTTGTAACAAACATCAACATCTCCAAAAGGACTATTTTCTTTGCAAACAGCTGGAACTATGATAAGAGGCAAATTTCCCAGATTTCCTGTGGATATCAAACCCCAAATCATCATAGATAAGAATGAGTTAATGTTTCTGATCTATATGTATGATATTGATGATAAGATAATTAAAAAGATAATTTTAAATATGTAAGTGATCCTACCTGCAGCACAACACCCCAATACAAGGCCTTGAAGATCATGAGGAACTCTAATTATTTTAACAAGTAACCATCCAAAAATTGTCCCAATAATAAATGTGAGAAGAACATTCAATGGCATGAACCACCTACATAATTCATGAAAGCATCTCTGCTAATCAAACTAATTAAATGGGGAATATTTTTTGAATTGAAAATACAAAAGTAGCAAGAAACAAACTTACAACATCACCATGCTCCTTAAAGTTATTCTTTCAGCCAGGCTACTATAAACAAGAGCAGGAGCGAAGACAAAAAATACCATCTGAAAAAAAAAAAAAAAAAAAAAACCAACTATCTGTAATTCTTTCAAGCAAGGTTTATAATTTTTTTTTCATCTTTTTTTTTTGTAAGAAATAATAAGATATGTATTTCATATTTCAAAACTTAAGCATTTTAGTTTTGGTTCAATATATATAACGCAAGAGCTCTTTGCGTTTTATTTACATATGAGCTTGAGGAATGTTTTGGTATGACTCAGTAATGTTGAAGCGTGCATGAAATTCGTTAAGCAGAACAAAATAAGAATTAAAATAAACATTAATAAAATATAAAGAAATTTTTTAGAAAAATGTTAACAACGATCAATGAATTGCTACCAATCAATAATAAATTTGTAACTTTAAATAAAGTTATTGTATTTGAGGTAAAATAAGAAAAAAAAAACCAAAAAAAGAAAGAAAGAAAGATGAAACTTACGGTATTCAAGTTTTTTCTGGCAGTTTCCTTGAGTATGCCAAATCGATTAAGTGCAAGTAATGTGCCAACAACAGTAATCAACAGTACCTTGAGAACTGGCATTAATGCAACAACAAAAAGGTTCCAAAAATCCATAGTGTCTTCTTTCTTTTCTATTAAAAAGATACAGATATAACTCTCTTGTGACTCTCCAAATCAAGTTGTAATTCTGATATGTGAAACAAATTTCAAATAAACATCAAATCCATTTTGTGAAAAGGGTTTTGATCTTTATCTTTTAAAATTAAACAAGAAGCTGGTCATTATGATTCGTTTTGTCAATAGCCAATTATCATAATATTTATGATGTCATTACATTAGTTTTTTAGAAAACAAATTGTCATCAAATTTGTATTGATATTTATGAAAGACTAAACTGATAACACAAAAAAGATTAATTTAATAATCAAATTTTTTTATATTTAAGAATAATTTTTTTGGAGATTTAATATCGTCAGAAGTTTTTTTTTTTTTTTTTTAAAGTTGAAAGTTTACTCTCTCTCTTTTTCCCTTCCCGTTCAAAGTTTAGAAAACTTATTTTGTCTCTTTTTCTATCGTAACATTAGAGAAAGAATATGAGAAGAATTGAATGTAAATGCTGAATTACATGTTGCCTCCATGAAGCACGAAGATGTAATCAATCCAATATTCTTCGGAGAATGAGTGAATGCAGCCTCTCGGCAAATGAGAGAGGCAAAGGAAGAAAGCAACTATTAATTTATAACTAATTAAGGGTAATTTTGAGCAATGGACTTTTGAAAACAGAATTTATTATTTATTATGTTTTTTAAATATTTTTTTTTTCAAAAGTTAAAGTTATTTTGTGTTTTGATTAATTAAGGGGAAGGATATGTTGGGTATATTAATAATATATATAATCCAATAGTATGTTCACATATAAGCCCAATAGGTGAAAGCATTGTTATTTGGGTCCATATAGGCTGGAGCCCAATAGCTTGCATTATATCTAGGGTTTCCTAAGCTGGAGGTAACATTGTTGAGCATTCCAAACTTGATGTCTCTTGGTGTAATACTTCAAGCATCTCTAAACCTTTCTCTCTCAACCTTATAACTTCCAACAATCTTGAAGTATTAACTTTGGAACATCATATTTTAAATCACTCTCGCGATTCGACGGAAGGATTTACCGGAATCTGAGTTTGAAGAAACTGGAGCCGCAACTTTTCGGTCCAGATCTCGAAAATTTCGGACATTTTCAGAAAGTGAAACCTAATGGGCTTTGTTCTACTCGTCGAGACGATCGTTTTGAGTCGTCACTCGCCTTAAACGGAGATCGGACAAATGAGATATGATCGTTTGAAGTTTTAGGTACACTTTTATGCGAAAAAGAATATTCCTGCGAAAGGAATATTCTGAGGGAATATTCTTTTAGTTGGGGAATATTCTGTTATGGGATATTTCAATAATAAGAGAATGTTCCGGTGAGTTTCTGGCAATAGGGGTAGTCCATCTTAAGGTTTTTGGGCGCTCCGGATCTGTTTTTGGGGTCGTTTTGGCAAATTCCAAGTCTACAGAGCAGTTTGATGAAAGATGGAGCCTTTGCTTTAATTTGCGAAGTCTGAGAGATCTACAAGGTGCACTCTTTCTAACTCTTAGCTCTTATTAAAATGCCTACATATAGTTCCTATGATATTATGAAATGAAATCATTTGATGTTATTGAATTTTATGGTTGGAAATTACATGTTCAATTTGGCATGGAAGAACATATATTCCACAATGTATTAAATGATTTTGCATTTACCATTGGAAATTGTGGATTAACAATATCAATGGAATAAAGATGGATATTTTTGTAGGGACTACTTGTTAAATTCTCTAAATATTCATCTAGCTATGACTTGTAGTGAATATAAGACGATGGAAAAAAATATGAAATCACTTGAATGCTTAGTTCCAAAACAAGAGGGGCTCTCCAAAACTCTCATAGCAGAGAAGTTCTTTGAATTCAAATTTAATACGAATTTAGTTAATTAAACTTGAGAACATAAGGAACAAGCTAAAAGATGATAAATCTGATATGTTTGATAATCTTTTTGTCGATCTTGCATTGAGTAAACTACCTGCTGAATGAAGTTCTTTTAAGACTGAAAGAACAAAGTGAACTGGATAAATTAAAGAGGTTTATTTATATTTAGGATCAAAACTATTCTAGGAAGAGTTTGGAACAAATAAGGCAATAAAAGTTAATTGCCTACTTAGTTTCACATTCCAATAAACCTCAGAAGAAGTCCAAGTCACCAAAAGGTGAATCCTCTTCATAGTTAGAGGCCAAAAAGACTATCTTCAAAAGAAGAAGGACAAGTGTCATAACTGTGGAAAGTGGGATCACTGGGCAGCAGAGTGTAAGCTACCAAATAATTTAAAGAATAACACACCACAAAATGAGGCTAATATGTTAACTAATAAACCTGAGCCTCAAGCTTTTATTGGAATGATGAAGAATGGAAAGGCTAGTGTCTCTTCTGAGTGGTGGTTGGAGAGCGGTGCTACCTGTCATACTACAAATGATAGAAATTTACTCACTAAGGTCATAGAAGTGAAAGATACAGTGGACAATTGCAGTGGTAATGAGACAAATGTGACTCATGTTAGAACTGCAAATTTGGTGCTTTCTTCAAGTAAATTACTAACTCTAAAACAAGTTAGAGTAGTACTTTTACTTAAAAGAAATTTGATATCTTTGCTTGATAAATCTTATATGCCTTTCACAATAATGAATGGTAGAGTAAATTTATTTGTTAATTCTTGTTATTTTGGTTGTGCATTCATGATTAATGATATGTATAGATTGAGTTTAGATACTGTGAGCATAAAACATGTGAGTTCAACTTTGAATGATCCAAAGTTGTTACATAATAGACGTGGACATGTGAACTACAGGAAAATGCAACATCTAGCTAAAACTCTTGATACTCCATTAAATGCTTCTATTCGATTTGACAAATGTGAAGTATGTGCACAAACTAATATCACTATAAAACCTTTTAAGTCGGTTTGTAAAAGCACACAACTTCTTGATCTGATACATTTTGACCTTTGTGACTTTAGAAATTATATTACTAGAGGTGGTCAGAAGTACTTAATAATATTCATAGACAATTTTTTCTAGATATTGTCATGTCGATTTGTTGAAATCGAAAGATGAACTTTTTAAAAGGTTCTAGATTTTTAAGTAAAAAAAAATCAAAAAATCAACTCAATTTGAAAATTAAGAGGTTTATGAGTGATAGAGGAGGAGAGTACACAATGACAGGGTTCAAGGAATTTTGCGCTTCGGAGGACATGATACTTGAAACCACTGCTCCTTACCCCAATCAAATGGTGTTGCTGAGCGCAAGAATAAGACATTAACTGAAATGTTAAACTCTATGTTACTAACAGCTGGCATGCCTTCCTCCTATTGGGGAGAAGTAGTTCTAACTGCCAATCACATCCTGAACATGTTGCTGCACTATAAGTTGTCTATAACTCCTTATGAGATATGGCATAAGCGCTCTTGTAGATATGATACTCTTTAGACTTGGGGATGTATTGCTTATGTAAGAATACAAGATCCTAAGAGACCTAAGGTGGAACCTAGAACCATTACTTGTGTATATCTAGGAAGTGCAGAAGACAGTCCTGCAAATAGATTTTTGGATCTATCTACAACTGCGGTGATAGAATCCAGAGATGCATAATTCTTTGAGAATAAGTTTATCAAAGATCATGGCTTGAGTTTTTCTGGATCTACAGATATGGTTTTAGAATCTCCTATAGAATCTAAAGCAAGCCCTTCTGACACTTACTCCAAACAACTAGCTATTGAATCAGTTCCAGTTAGAGTATCTACGAGATAGAGAGGTCCCAAAGACTTTGGCGAGGACTTTGTCACTTACCATCTAGAGGATGATCTATTCTCCTATCAGGAAGCAATGAGATCTAGGGAATCTCTACTATGGGTAGAAGCCATAATGATGAAATGAGCTCTCTGCTGCATAATCAAACTTGACAGCTAGTCAATTTTCCAAAAGGGGCTAAGGCTATAGGTTGTAAGTTAATCGTGAAGAAGAAACTGAATAGTGATGGATCGATAGTCAGATACAAAGCACATTTAGTAGTTAAAGGCTATAGACAACAAAGTGAAGTAGACTATTTTGGTGTCGACTCACCTGTGTGTTATCTATCAACTATAAGAATTCTTCTTGCTTTGACATCTATTGAACACTATGTAGTGCATGAAATGAATGTAAAGACAACTAGTGGATGACATGTTAATTCTTGGTTTTGATCATTCTGTAGTGAGTGACATGAAAGCTAATTTAGCTAAAGAATTTGACATGAAAGATCTTGGTATTGCTAATACCATTCTTGGTATGAATGTAAGCTTTGATAGGCAAGTTATCTCCTTATGAAGGGACTTTTTACCTGGGGATACAGTGAGTGCAAACTGAGTGAGACACCATGTGATTATAATAAAAGATTTAGTCCTTATGAAGGGACCAATGTGGATCAGTTAAAGTATTCAAAACTGATTGTTAGTCTCATATATGCTGCAAGTTGCACTAGACCTGACATAGCCTTTACAGTTGGCGTGCTGAGTCATTTCACTAGTAATCCTAGTAAAGAGCATTGGGATGCCCTCGATAGGCTGATGCGATATCTTAAAGGTACTAAAGATTATGCTTTACCCTACTCTGGTTACCCTTCAATTGTGGATTAAAATTCTGATACGTCATGATGTTCAGAAATCAGAAATAGTAAGTTCACCAGTGGATATGTATTCACTTTGGGTTGAGCTACTATTGCTTGGAAATCTAAAAGATAGACTTTTATTGCATTGTCGTCTATGGAATCAGAATTTTTTGCTTTAGCCTTAGCCGGCGATGAGGCAAAGTGGATAAAGAATATGATTATGGATATTCCTTTGACTCGGCTAAAGATTAATTCTTTAAACCCATTTTGTGATAATCAAGCAGCTGTCCGAGTTGTTAAAAATGCTCTCTTTAATTCAAAGAGAAGACATATAAGATTGAGACATGCGTTGTTAAATTATCTGAGAAAACAAGGAGTTATCACCTTGATCGATGTGAG